ATAATAATAAAATAAATAATATATATATATATATATATATATATATATGAAAATTCTATATTGAATTTTAATTTTATACCTTCATCATCCATATTTTTTGTGATGGGAAATCAATCATAAATTCATGTAATTGCTTGTCCATAGATACAAACATTGTCTGAGGTGATTTGCTTAATATAACTGTTGAATTTGAATTTATATTTTCCACTACATTACAACTAATATATAAAAAATTTATTACATCATTTTTAAAAATTGCAGAAAGTCTAAGATCATAAGCAATTATTTTATAAAAATATTCATCTTGAAAATATCGCACTATAATAAAAAATGATATATATTGTTAAATATATATTTTAAGTTAAGTTATATATATATTTAAATTTTTCACTTACTATATATAGCAGCTTCTGCTATTTTCCTTTTTTTCAATAAAATAATACATAAGAATTATTAATTATGGTTTCACTTATTTTATATTTCATTAATAGTTTTCTTATATAAGTCACTTCTCCATATGTAAATGGTAAAACATAATCCGTAATTGTATCAATACAAGGCAATATATTAAAATCATTGATCATAATGTTAAGAATATTTAAAATACCTAAAAATATATTTTTATTCATATTATGTGTAAACATATAATATATAATAATAAAATATTTCATATATTTAAATGTAAAATGCATACCTTGTAAACTATATTTATTTGCTTGCCTAATTAAAAGTGGCCAAAAGTAATGTGGGCGTAATAAACAATGTTTTTTACATATTTTGAGCAAAAGAAGAGACAAATTGTCATTTTTCTTTAATGAATAATATAGTGATATTAAAAAATATTTTTTGGATATCTCTTTATTTCCCGTAAAATTACAAAACAAAATAATATCTTTAATTAGCTATAATAATAAATACATTTTAATAGAAAATAAAATATAAAAAATAAAATATATATTATATATACATATTCTTCTTACCACATTATTATTAATTATATGTTTTAAAATTAATTTCAGAATACTTTCAAATTGAGGATGCTCATTATTTAAACCTATCTTTAAAAGTGCCTTTATAGCTATATGTATATAATTAATATTTATTATTTTTAATATGATTTCTATTTCATTATTTGAAATGATCTTTTTTTTTCTTAAATATTCATACATCTAATAAAATATAAAAATAATAAAAATGATTAAATTATTAAATTTTTGTGATATAGATTAATAATAATTTACTATATAATTCATCAAATTCTTACAGCATCAATATCTTCAGTGTGATTATTTTCTGCTAATGTATAAATTACTTTCAAAATATTTATATTATTAAAATATATGTTATTTAAATTACAATCTTTAATTATTTCTTTGATTTTAATAATATTATTTAATTTAGCATAAGTATACATAATAATAGCATATGTTTCATTAGTTATATTTAATTTATATTGTTTCATATTATTTAGAATATTATTTACATTTTTTATATCTCTGAAAAATATTATAAATATATAAATTTAAATGTTTATTTAAAAAATAAATATTATATTGATATATAAAAAACAATGTTTATTTAATCAGATATATATATATATATATTTACCCAGATTGAGAATATGCTAGCATTAATGAATCAAAAATAGATTTTGATATAGAAAATCTTAACTTTTTCATATCATGTAAAAGCATTAATGCTTTATTAATATTTCCTTTCATACAATAATATTTAATACATATTTCATATGTATATTCATTTGGATAAACATTTTTATATTTCATGTCTTCTAATAAGTTCATAATTGAGAAATTATGTTCATTTTCTATATATAATTTTAAAAGTTCGTTATAATGGACTGTTGACATCTCGAAATCTTTAAATTCAATATAAACAATATATTAAATTTTATTTTTATTTCATATTATACATTTCTTATATATTTCATATAATAATATTATATTTTATAAAATTATTAATAATGTATTGAAAACATACTGCATACAGTTAAAATTATCCATAAAGATTCTGCAAGTTTTATTCTGTCTATTGGTAAACAATCAGTTACATTATTACACCAGCAAAGTAATAAAAGTAACTTATGTGTATCTATGACATCTATAATAAACAATAGAAATATTCTTGTAATATATATCAATATTATAATATTATATATATGATGACTTACACGATGAATCTATAAGATCTATAATACTTATCATTTCTTTTTTTGATATACAATTGTTTACTTCCATTTGTTTATATATATTATTAAATTTATCACTTATCAAGTTTTTTTTATCATTTTCTTCAATTTGTGTTATAAAAACCATATTCCTATGACATATATGGTATATATAACTGTTTATAAACTTTTTTTAGTAATAAAAATATAATAAATTTGAAAAACTAACCTTATTATCATATTAAATGTTTTACTATATTGTTGAGTAAAAAAATTTGTAATTTTTTGGTTTTCAATGAATATTTTAAATTTTAAATGATTTCTAAAATGATTTATACATTGTAATAAAATACCTGACATGATAACTTAAAATTATTTAATAAAAATAATATGTGTTTTTTGAAGTATATTTTGCATTACCTAACCTTACAATCACAATCATTCGCAATCAAACATAAATACATTATTAAAAATATAATTATTTGTTAATTTATAATTATAGAACCAATAATAAATTTAACATTAATCATTTATTAGAAGCATATAAAAGTTACAAAACATTACAAAAAATAGTACAATAAACACTTACTTTTAATTAAAATACAATATATTCATCTTATTAGATGTAACATATTATTAAATTTAATATTTAATATATTATATATTTGTGATATATTAAAATACTTAGAGATTAAATGTTAGATATTAGATATATATCCAAAAATATATTTTAAAATTAAATTTCTTATTTACTTCTTATAATTTTATACAAGAATTATAAAAATTTCATTAGTATTATAAATAAAAAATTCGGAATTGACATTTAGTTTTATACATAAAAATGTAGAATGTAATTTCAGAAAATATATGAATATTAGAAAATAAATATAATATAATGAAAAATTATTATTAATGCAAGATTGATGCATAAAATAAAATATTTAGCCAGTTAATATAACTTAATGTTAAATAAAATTATAAACTGATATATCATGTTATATTTTTTTTATATTGAACTTTAAAATATCTTTTAAGATACTTGCTTTCATTATATTAGTGAAATTATCTAAAATATTATCTTAAATTCACAAAAGTGAAATAGTTTTCACATTTTACATTAAAATATTACAGTAAATTCTTTGCTATATTAAAAGTTTCATTTTTGTATGATATTAACATTAAATTTTAATTATTTTACAAAAATTCTTCACACCAATCAGAGAGGCACTGATAACAATCACTAGACTGTTTTGCATTGGCAGAACATGCATCCTTCATCCATTCTTGAAATAATTCTCTATTCTTTTTTAAAACCAAGTATTGTCCAAGAACAACATATGCCTATAAATAATAAATATTAATATTAATTTCTATGTTTACATATAAATATGAATGTGTTTTATAATTTCTTATTTTTTTATTTATACAAAAAATAGTTATTCAATATTGATTAAAATAAATTATATTAAGTTTTATTATCTTTATATATTTTCAATAATTTATTTTAAAAAAATTTTTATAAATTTTACATTTATTTCACAATAAATATGAATAAAAATAATAAATAAAAAAAAATATTAAAGTATAAATTATATTAAATTATATTATGTAATTAAATAAAAATATATTATACTTTATCAAAACCAGCTGCTTCTAATCTACGTCCTAAAACTTCTCCAACTCCAGCAAGATCTGTAACAGGTTTATCACCCATTGGTTCAGCCACAAAGTTTTTATGTTTTTGTGATGTGCTGGACATGTTGTTTCTAGAAATAAAAATAAATTTTTTTCTTAAGCAACAAAATAATATCGCATAGTACATATTTATTCTATTTTATTATTTCTATTTTAAAAAAAAATATGAAGACTGAATAGAAGTAATATAAAATAGAAATAATTTTTTATTACTTCTTAATTTTTTATAATTTTTTTATTTCATTAAAATTTTATATACTTATTTATATACTTTTATTTATTATTTACTTAAAAATATTTAAATATAATAATAAATAAATGATATACGTAATATAAATTTCTGTAAAATACATACATATCAAAATTCGTTTTTCATAAAATAAATTTAAATTATTATTTGTAATACAATCACTGTATAAAACTATTTTTTTTGTATATTGCAAATTTATAATAATTTAAATATTAAAATTTCAATTTATTAATCGTTCACTTTAAGATTATAATGAACTTTCTCGTTGAAAAATACACCTTTAAAAATTACTTAAACATAACACTATCAAAGCTACATGTACAACATAAATTTATATAAAGTTATAGATTGGAAACTCATATATAATTTTATACATATAAAGTCTAATTTCTAACAACTTTATTTTTCTAATATTTTACGCTATTAAAATTATTAGAAAGTATAAGAAAAATATAAGAAGTTAAAATATTATTCAAATTTATTATTTAATATTATTCAATATGAAAACATGTATTTATAAAACATTAAAAATATGTAAAATTCTAAATTTATTACAAAAACTTAATTCTTAATATAAAAAAACAATAAAATTATTACATATTATATTATATGATCGATTATAATTGAAAATCATATTATTGCATTATAATGGAAAAATTTGATAAGAAATAGAAATATTACAAATAAATTTTAGATATATTTTAATAAAAATTTAGAATGTGTTTTAAAAAATAATATAATTTTTTTATTATAAAATTATATTATAATTTTGAAGAATGAATCAAATTTATCAAATTATTGCTTTATACAAATTTACAAATTTGATATATCTCAGAGTAAAGTGTCGACACCATCGGTGTGTTTATAAGCAGAAAGCGTTTCGTTTCTTGTCTATTCGTTTACGAAATTGGGTTATCGTTGAAAAGATGGAGCGGTCAATATGTGAAATATTACAAATAGAAATATATATTAGTATTAAAATGATTTAAATTCTTTTTAATTTATCATAGTGATGCTATAAAATTTAAATTTATGTGATTATTTGTAAAACTATTTAAAAAATTGCAATTTTTGACATATACTGTGCTCCAATCACGGAAGAACCATTATGTTGTGTCAACGTAATCGACGGCAGCACTGACGCCTCTTCAGTAATTAACCAAACAAAATGGACACCAAGATAACGATTAAGTGAACATTCGTGCAGTAGATTTACATGGAATGTCCAGAAGAATGGGATTAACGTGTATGCTACAGTGAGTTTTATTTAATTATTGTTAAAAATTGATCTTTTATAGTTGATCTTCTACTAAGTTTATATAAATTGCATATACGTTTCATTAATTTAACAATATTGAAACTTAATTTTGACACTTCAATCTAGGATAAAATTTTGCGATATTATATTATTTTCATAGATATTCAGTATACGAAATAAAAATAAAATATTTTTTTAATATTTAAATATTTTTCATTGATCTCTTTGAAGTTTTATATTATAGTTGTTTATAAGTGCTATTTTTTATTTTTACTATAAAAAAAATATGATTTCAAAATATTTCATTTCGTATTTTATATTTCATAATAAGTTGTATTTTAATTGTACATATACAAATGTAATTTAAATCATAATTAATTTGATTATATTTTATATAATATTTACTTATAATATATAAGTAAAAATAGAAAATAATAAAATAATCAAATCATACATTATTATGTAGTATACAACATAGTATAATTATATATATAATTACTAAATATTATTCAGATTATATATGAAATTTTTCTTTTTAATATACTTATATTAGTTTCTTAAATTATAATTTATATTAAATAATTCATAATTTGATCATATAATTAAAACTCTTTTGAAATTGAAAATGAAACAAATTTTTTTTACATAATAATCTTGAAATTAAAAAATCATTTTTCTATTTATACATTATAAGGTAAGCATAAGCATATATCTTTTATATTTTTTCAATAATAATATTTTACCAGTATAAGTAATTTAATAATAATACATATCATGGTCAAAATATTAAAAAGATTTTTTTTATTAAATTTTTCAATTTTTAATTTTTAAAAATGATACAAATCAATAATTATGATATTTGTCATAATTTATTAAAAGTAAAAAATAAATATATTGT